ATATATATATATATATATATATATATATATATATATAAATATTTTCAAACCATGGATGGTTAAATCCGTGGATAAGGAATCTTTGGATACTGAGGGCTAACGTAGTTACATACACTCTGCTAAAGTGGCAGCTTTAATTGATCCTTCTTTACATTACTGCTCTCACACTTAAAAAACATAATGCAATGCTATGGCTTCTACTGAGATCCCAGAAGATCATGTAAGACAGTAAGAAAATAATCAGTTTTTTCCCCACCCATTCCTACCACCTGCTGATAGAGAATGCATATTTCTGCCAAAAAGCACACTTTAGGGGGCTTGATGAAATTCTAGTTTATATGTGGCTATCCAGTAAATGGCAGTAAAATTAATTCTGTGAAAGAGAGGAAAGCACTGGATTTTAAGGGGATGTGGTGCATATCGTTTTGGGTTTGTCTTCTTCTCTGGCAAAGTGAGCTATCTTGTGAAAAGGAAAGGACCCTATAAAATAAATATGAAACTAAAGGCAGCATGGTCTAGGGAGGGACTTGTTGGCCTGGGGAAACCTGGATTCAAGTCTCCACTGAATCACAAAGCTGACTGAGAGGTCTTGAACCCGGCATGGTCTTCCAGCATAGAGAATTGTTGTAGAAGGAAAAGCGAGAAAAAGCCAAGTAAATCGCTTTTAAATACTTGAAGAAAGGCAGAGGTAAGAATTAATTAAATAATAACTTTCCCAGCAAACTCAGTTTGATACCAATCCCCAGATGCACAATTGTGACCCCATGTTGGTGGTATGCAGTGCTGTCTGGGCTACACCATGCTTTCTCCCTGCAGGCCTTCAAAACTGCCTTAAAAGACTCATTTATTTGCTGTGACATTTGTATAAGTAACTTTAATTTACCATAGTCACTGGTGGGCTTAGCAGAAAAATGTTTATTGGAATTTAATATTTTACTGGGTGAGATTTTTTTAAAATGGTGGTTCTTATTCATAGTCCACTTATTTGAAGCTTATTATTATTTGCAATATATGTTGACTACTGAGGGGTTTTTTACCTTTAAAGGCAACTGGGCAAGTTACACTCCCTCAAGCAACAGCAAACCCCCTCTGTATAAATCTTGCCAAGAAAACCCTGTGATAGGTTTGACTTGGGGATGCCCTAAGTTGGAAACAACTTGAAGGCACACAGTTGTTTCCTCTTGTTGTTGCCTCTTACATATGTTATTCAGGATTCATTTCCCAGTATAATTAGAAGACAGCATCTTTATGTAGCTAAAACAGTATCATCCATACACAAGAGGGAGGAATTGGGTTAAGGGGATCCCAAGGTTTAATGAAAGAGGAAAGGCACTGAGTTGAAGAACTGCTAAGGAGCCAAGTGAGGACTGGGTGTCCATAGTTGGGAGAGGATGCTGGCTGGCTGTTGAGAAGAAAAATGAAAATGAATAAAACATGGATACCGTAATTGAATACTATAGACAAGGGCATGATTGGCTGACCAGTACTCTGACTCCATACCATAAATTGTGACCAACTCGCATAGTCATTTTTTGACTAGGAAGCATGGGTGTAACATATGAATGCCTCTATTTTTAATTGATGAAATTCTGGAGAAGGTACAAACCTGGGTTTATAAATATTGTGAAAACAGAAGCCCTGCTGCAAACATGTGAAGAAGGGCAATGTCGTTGTCAGAAGCAAAGTAGCAAGTTTTTTTGTCAACAGGAGAAGAGAAGCCACATATTTAAAAATAAAAATGGAAGAATGAATACAGTACATATTGCCAATGAAGACAGTTTTCCACCTTTAAAAAGCTATTTAGGTGAGCAGGGAGAGTGCTGTCAGATTTCAAAATCCATGTTTTTTTATAGCAAAGAGAGAAACACAAAACTGGGTGGTTGAAAGTGGCTATTGTACTGAATGTCTTTCACATGTATCCCTTCATAATTATCCTTAAAAAAGGGGGGGGGGGAGAATATTCTGTCCCAGGGCCAGTTGTGACATGTTGCTAGTTATTTCTGGCACTGTGTATTTTGGAGACTGCAGCCAGCTATATGAGATGTTCCTACCAAGAGACATATTGGCTGTTAAATTTGTTAACAGACATTGAGACATAAGAATAGTTACTGCCAGCAACCACAGCTAAGTCATCAAAAGTCTTGGGTTCCAATTTTTAAAAAATATAACTGCTTGTTTGGAACTCTTTCCTTCTTTTCCATTGCTCTCAAGAACAGGAAACAGACTGGATGAAGCTCATTAGAGCATCAAATAACTGTCCTTTATTTTTAATTTCCATCTGTCTGAATTTGAGCTTGTCACTTTTCTAGATTCACTGCATTCTGTTTAAAAGAAAGACTAGCCATATGCAATGGAAAACAGTAAGGTTACTATTTCCAGGCACTGGTATGTTAAAATTAGCATAAAGAAGCACCAAATGGAGTCAGAATTGGGCAACTTCCAGAAGTGTTTGTTTTCTGCAGAGCGTAATAGACTCATGTCTCTTTGACTCATTTGCAATGAGCTGGGTCCCTTTCTTTGGATGCATTTATTAGATAGCAATGAATGAACACTTCATTTTATTTTTTCCTCAAATAAGAGCCCTTTCATTCTAAGTAAATTGTAAACAGGAACTTTCTGAAGAACTTTCTAGAGTACCTAATGTTTAGGCTTTGTTATTGCTCACTATTCGCTCTTTGGATTAAGAGAAAAAAATCAGAAAGTGTGAAAACCTCAAGCTATAAGCAACATGAGAGGCTATTTCTGAGGATATACACACGTGTGTATGTAACTTCAACTTATGGCAACCTCGTGAATTTCATACTTTTTCTTAGGCAAGGATTACTCAGAAGTGGTTCTGCCAATGTCTTCCTCTGCAATATAGCCTACAGCACCTGGTATTAGTTGGTGGTCTCCTGTCCAAGTATTAACCAGGGCTGCCCCTGCTTAGCTTCCAAGATCAGACAGGGTCTGGTTCCTTAGAGTATACAAGAGGTTTTATTTAAACACACACACACACACACACACACACACACTGCATTTACCCTGAGAAATATTTATTCAGCCTTCTTCAAAGGTTGATAGGGAAACAATACAAAACATGTAGTGAAAAAATTAAAAGGCTGCCTGTACACATAGGCTTCATATTATTTCACATTTATTCATGGTATTCATATTATTCACGCTTGAAATAAAATCTATAAGAATGTTACAGTGAACTAAATGGAGTGACACGTACATAAAACTGAAAACTGATTTGTTGATATGTAGACTGTCATGTTTCAGATGCATATAAGGGCTGAACACCTAAAGGCACCAGATCCCGAATGATTTTGGAAGCTAATCAGGGTCAGACTAGATTAGTAGGAAGAAGGGAAACCACCAAAAAATACCAGGTGCTGTAGGGTATATTACAGAGGAAGGAACCGGCCAAACCATACTCATTGCCTCAGAAAACCCTATGAAATTCATGGTGGATGACACCAATACTGATGATACGTGAAGGCAAGTATATATATATATATATATATATATATATATATATATATATATATATATATATACACACACACACACACACACACACACACACACACACCTCTATTTTACCATAACATTCCTTACAGATTTTATTTCACATCTATGTTAATATGAAGCATGTGTGTTCAGGCAAGTTTTTAATCTATTCAGTTCATGTTTTGCCTTAATGTTTATCTACTGTCCCCCTTTCTATTAGCCCATGAAGAAGGTCATTCAAACAATTCTCCGTTGAAACATACTGGAATTATATTTCTTGGAAAACATACAAATACACACACATCTTGGTATCAGGTTCTGTTGGATGTACACAGTCTCTTTTGTTTTTTTTAGCAACTTTGTGCCTGACCTTGACTTCTCTCGAGTCAGCAAGCAAACATCGGCCTCTCTCAGAGAGCTGGCTATCAGTATGCACATATTCTTGTTTTTAGGAATATTAAGTGTATTTATTCTGGAACTAACGTGAGAAAAAGATCAGACACAGTATAGGCTGCAATTGTTAACTATTGCTAGAGATTCCATTTTTGTGCCTGAACCTACCAAAGACACAGACAAGGGTGCTATAGTGTCAAACCACTGGTGCAACAGAACCTACTGTAAACAGTTTTACACTTTTGCAAGGAGATATCCAGAACCTTGTTTCTGCATGAAAGGGCAGAAAATGAATGAATAAATGAATAACCAAGAATGGCAGGTGACTCTGGCCATTCACTGCAACCCAGAGTAAGAAACCACCTGTCACTCTGCTTTAGACAGGGCTATCCATTTCTCCAATGGCTAGTTCTGAAGGGTCCTCTGAATCAAGGCATTATAGGTGAGGTGGCTTGAAAAATCACCTGTATCAAGAACTGTCTGTGCCAGAATTAATTTTCCAAGCCACTCCTAGCTTGGCTCTGAGGACTAGATGCTGAAAAATTAGACAATTCTATATAGAGTGTGTCTCTGGAGAGACGCATGCACCACAGGTACAACAACAACAAATTTTATTTCGGTCATGGACCAATAATGCACCACAGGTAAACTGGTGGAGTTTTTGCTTTGCTAAGATGCACAGAAAAGGGGTCTTTCCCCTCAACAACCACGTACTGAGCCTCTGAGGATGGCAGCTCCCAGCAGATCTTTTAAAAGTTACGGTTTCGGACTAGAAAGCAAAGCAAAGCAGCTTCATTTATATACCGCTTCATATCGCACATGGGATGTCTAAGCGGTTTACAACTGTGAGCTGATTGCTCCCTAACAGCTGGGTACTCATTTTAGCGACCTCGGAAGGATGCAGGCCTGAGTCGAGCCTCAGCCCTGGCTGGTATTGAACTCGCAACCTTGTGGTCTATGAGTGAGTGGCTGCAGTACAGGCATTTAACCACTGCGCCACCAGAGCTGATCCACTGCGCCACCAGGGCTGATACTCCCAGAACTCCCAGAATGCCCAAAAACCATACTGGTTGGGAGTTGTAGTGTAAAACAATGATTTTTCCAAGCTTTGGAACCCAAAGATGGACCTCAGAAGCAGGCTTCCAGAAACCTTCCTGATTTCTGAAGGATAAAAGGATGTTTTAAGCATCCTCCCAATAGTCTATTGCTGCTCAGTGTTTATACAGAACCACACATGACATAGACTTTCCTGATACTAAAGAAATATTTGTAGTTTTCTCTGTAGTCCTTCCCCCACCCCGCCCCCATCTTTCTACAATGTGATTTTCCTTGGAAGGAAAACTTAAAAAGAGACACTGCAGCTGTCAGCATTGAATGGCTGGTGAGAATCACTAATAAATGCCAAAAAAAACCAACCCCCCAAAAGGTCTATAACAGAATTAATTAGGCATAGAATCACAGAGTTGGAATAGACCACAAAGACCATCCAGTCCAACCCCCTGCCATGCAGGAACTCAAAATCAAACCATCCCTGACAGATAGCCATCCAGCCTTTGTTTAAAGAGCTCCAAAGAAGGAGACTCCAGTGCGTTCCACTGTCGATAGGCATAATTGCTTGTTCTGAATTTGACTACTCAAAAAGCTTAATTAAGCCAGACAGTTTCCTTATTTTCCTTCTTTTTAATCCACTCAAGTGTTAAGAAACAATTAACAGTAATAACAGCAAGTAGTACTTCTACAGAAAGTACCAGGAAATGTGGGCTGCCACAATGCATTTTCGAATGACTTAGAATTGCCCTAAAGAGAAGACAACGCAGTTGGGGATCTGTTTTCTGTTTTGAAAAATGGGCAAAAGAGAGGGGACAGGAAGAGAACTACAGATGGCAAAGAAAGTCTTAGCCAAATCCACAGCAAGGAGCCAGTCTCTCTTAAGGAGCACAACTCAGCCTGTGTCAGGTCATAACCTCTGGGGATATCCCAGCATTAAAAGAAATGTTTCTAGATTGCATGCACACTAGTTAGCAATACAAATGCCAAAAATCACCAGAAACCAGAAAAAAGAAATTAACTTTCCCCCTCTCATTCATGCCTCTGATGGCCTAATGCCATTTAAGCCATGGATAATTTCTCAAGGTCCAAAGGGCTGCACAGGCTCTCCGCTGGGTTTTGGCACATGCATCCTCTTTCTATTTTTTATGTTTGCTGGAAAAGATCGCTAGCACCTTGAAGGGGGAGAATGAAGGCAATTTCAAGGCGCTTTTTTTTTTTTTTTTTTTTTTTTTTTTTTTTGCTGCCCTTGAGTTGTATTAGGGACAGGAGGAGTCTTTTCTTTTACAAAAGGAAGTGACCAGCAATCTGTATTCGCCTCCCATGTATTTATTAAAGATAAGGTGCCTGAGAGCCAGTGGGGGTGTAGTGGTTTGAATGCTGCACTATGACTCTGGAGATCAGGGTTCAAATCCCTACTCGGCTATGAAAACTCACTTTGGCAAGTCACATTTTCTCAGCCTCTGAGGAAGGCAAAGGCAGACCTGCTCTGAACTTGCAAAGAAAACCCCATCATCACCTTAGGGTCACCATAAGGCATAATGATGTGAAGGCACACAACAACAGCAACAACAGCAGGAGGAAAATAGATGTGGAAACTATTTTCAGTATGACAAGGTGATTGAACATAGAGCAATCCAAAGCTACACTTCTGGAAAATCCTTGTGGGGGGGAAGCCCAAACAAATATGACATCTTGTTCTGTGTGCATGGTTAACTCTTTGCTTACCTATTGGTAATCTCCTCTGTCTTCTTTTCAGTTCAAGACACAATGTTTTAAGAGCAAAAGTATTTCTGAAGCAACCTTCATTGAGTTTAGCTGCTCCTCAAAAGCCAACTGACTACTCTCTTTAAGCTATCATTGTCCATTTTCAATCTCTGAAATGTACCTTCATGGATTCTCATTTTGTCTGGTTAACACATCTCTTGGTAGGAGCCAATACACTTCTCTGGTACTTCTCTGGATACTGGTACAGTATCCAGCATATTTGTGGCACTAAATAAATGTGAAACACCAGTGGATCTAAATATTCATGGATTAAGCTGTGCAAAGAGCCACTGATGCTAGGTCTCCACATGCAACAAAAATAAGGTGAGAAATAAGGGAGCAGAGGCCTGAGGTGGTACACTTTACAATTTCAGATTGTAAATGTTGAATCACACATTCAGAGCTCCTGCATGAAAGAAAAAAAAATTACCTTACAGATAGAAAATTAAAGAAGTAAATTATTATTTATACTGTCTATCATGGCTTTCAGACTTCCCCCCCTCTAATTTTTTACCACTATGTAATGTAATAAAAAGTTCTGATAAACTGAGAGACATGGATATTTAGTAAACTTATTTCTTGATTTTTTCAAGACATTTTTGAATTATGGCTACCCTCAGGCAAACCTTTTCTTGGCAATATTTGGTCAGAGATTTATCATTGCCTTCTTCTGAGGCTTAGAGAGTGTGCCTTAACCAAGGTCACCCAGTGGATTTCCATAACTGGGTGAGGATTTGAACCCTAGTCTCCACAGTTGTATTCCAACATTCAGACCACTACATTACATAAATGTATTTGATTCTAATAAAGATACTCCTCACCCATAGATTTTGAATTTTCTTTTGAATGGCCCCCACATCTTATACTCACAAATAGTAAAGATACTAAGAGGATCCAACAGAAAAAGGATAAAGTTATCTATAATAAAAGCAAATGCTTCCATGCCTTTGGTAGCCATAGTGCTTTCAAACACTGTTCTAGATGCCACAAAATTTGATAGTGGTTTTGTTGTTGTTGTTGCGTGTACCGAGTTTCATGTCAAAATTTTATATAGGGAGCCTCCCAGAGGGATAGAAGGAGTCTGCCATAACTTATCAGGAAATAATTTTAAAGAACTAGAAAAGAGGAGAGACAACAACACACTGCTGTTAAGATTTCTCAGGCAAAGGGGAAAAGGTAAGAAAATAAGAGAGAGCTAAAGCCACTACTCAGACTTCTGAGGTTTAAAAAGCACCAGGAAAATGGGAGAGATTTCTTTGATGTATTGCCAATAGAGGGAATGGAAGGCTCCGTAGACCTCTTCTGGAGTATTAGGTATGAATCCAGTAATGCCAAGTACTGTATACTTTAGCACAGGGGTTGGCAACCTACGGCCCGCGGGACGGCCCCAGCCCCGCGAGGCCTTTGGACCGGCCCGAGCCTGGTCCTGCCGCCACCGCCGCCACGCGCGCCACCACCATGCAAGTCACGGCCGCCATTTTGCTTTCTAGAATGGCGGCTGCGACTCATTCACGCATGCGCCGGAGTACTGCGCATGCACAAGCAAGCATGCGTGGCACCATTTCCCCCCCCCCCTCAGCCCGCGGAAGAGCTTCGGACCAGCCCGAGGTAGGTAAAAGTTGCCTACCCCTGCTTTAGCAGGTATAAAATATCAGGAAAGAGCTAGGATACAATATTTCCTGCTGATGTGGCAATTCTTTTTTTAAAAAAAACTTGCAAAAGATTTTTACATGAAGAAGATTTTAAACATGACATCTTATATTTGCAACCTGAAAAAATGTCGGAGTGTAGTGGAGCCTCCCTCCTTGGAGGTCTTTAAGCAGAGGCTGGATGGCCATCTGTCGGGGATGCTTTGATTGGGAGTTCCTGCATGACAGGGGGTTGGACTGGATGGCCTTGTGGTCTCTTCCAACTCTATGATTCTATGATTCTATGTCTCCTCTGTCACCTCATTGTGTGTCATGTCACTGGTAGCCTCTAGATTCTGCGTTTAGTGGCATATGAACATCACTACTACATGTCCTATTAGCCCTTAGGGGAAAAAAAACAAGGTTATTTCAGGCCTTAGCTCTTGTACTGATTCTCACATTTTAAATGTGTCTGAATAAGGTGGTGAACCAGTATTGGAGCTTTACCACTTCCAGTGGAAGAAGGGTTTATGTGATTGCACACTCTCCATAGAAAAAAATCATTCCCTGAACACAGCAAACAAGCACATTTAGGAGAAAACTAGTCTAAATTTGTTCTCCATGATATGTAGTTTTCTATGAGTACGGATTCTTTTCCCCTTGCCATGGAAGTGCAGTTATATAAGCCCCCAGCTGAAAGCTGATGCAGTATAGCCCAAATATAATTTGACTGGCTCACTGAGAACTGAGCCCAAGTTTCTTTTGCTCAAAAAACAGCAAGTCAACATCCAGCTATTTGGATGTCTGTACACCTGGCCCCAGAAGGAAGTCTCAGAGCAAATATGCCAATCACTGTTTTTGATGGCCTCCTTCAAAGCCAATTTTCATTTTAAATTTGTTGAAGATGCTTCTACAAACCCCTAACCAAACACCTCCAAAAGAAGAGAGGTAGGGAGCCAGACCCCTGAAGGTTTTACCTACTATAACTCATGCAATGTAAAATCCAGACACTAGCAACAAAGGGTTGCCAAATTTCACAGCAGAAGATTCAAGACCAGACCGAATAAACAGTTAACTAAGTCTAAAAAAGAGTCTATCTTTGTTTCCAGAGCAACCAGGTGATAAACCAGCACATGTCGACTTTAGAAAAATTCCATTTTTGTTTCCATTTGTTTTCTGCATACCTACTGCTCTGCTTTTGTATAGTTTAGTCCACCTTCTACCCCATCTCCCCACCATAAGAAGTTGTTTTCACATTGTTCCACCCATTTTCGGGACTATCTACCACTTATAATTCAGAGACACAGCCGTATTAGTTTAGAATATCAGTATGCAGAGGAATCTTGCAGCACCTTTGATACTAACTGCAAAAGAAGTTGTAGCATGAGCTTTCATAGACCTGGTCTACTTCCTCAGATGGCCAACTTCCTTCGTGTATTTCCTTGTACACCAAGTCTACCAAAGAAGTCATGCTACATCTTTCGCAGTTAAGTCTCTAAGGTGCTGCAACATCATTTTGTACACGATTTATAATATTTCTCTACCGAAGTTCCAAAAAATGGCCTCTCACATTATAGCCTTAATGTAGCCTCTTATGTCTGGATGGGATCAGCAGCCTATGGAAGAGAACTACTGCTCAAGGCCATCCTAAAAACATGCCGATTTTTAGTGGGAGCTGTAATGTAGCTATCCAAAACTCTGGACCCTATCCACAAATATACTCAATACTTTGGACAAGTCCTTTAAAGGTCAGACTAAAACCCAGAAAAGAGTCACTACTACACTATTATGGAATGGCTACCATTGCTCAATATATCACTGCCCACCTCAAAACTTGTTGCTATCTGCCTTCAAGTTAACTCTGACTTATGATAATGCTATCTTAGGGTTTTCTTGGCAAAATGTATTTATTTATTCAGAGGAAGCTTCTCATTTCCTTTCTATAAGGTTAAGAGAAAGAGTGACATGCCCAATGAGTTTTCCATGGCTCAGCAGGAATTCAAACCCTGGCCTCACAGAGATCTAGTGCAACACTGAAACTGCTATGCCATGCAAAAGTAGTGCTACAATCTGCTAGGTCTATGGAGCTTACATCACTCTTCCTTCCTTCTTAAAAATGTTGGGGTTTTTGCAGTGAAGAAAGACAGAAACAGCACTGGGAAAACATTTGTTGTTGTTAACTGCTGGCCAATTGACTTTGACTTATGGCCACCCTATGAACGACTGGAAACACATAGAAGATTACAAATTGATGTTGTTGTTGTATGGGAAACACCCCTCCCCTCATATGAATAAAAGAATCAGGGCAACTGCATAACACATGCCTTATCAGGAAACAGCCATCCTGCTTAATGTATATTCTCTCACTTCTTTACATGGTGATGCACAGGTGGTTTTCAATCTGGCATAATCAACCCTGTGCTTTTCAGAATAAATGTGCCCACCTGTGCTGCCCATCTGCAAACTTTCCTGGCATTTCACATTACTGCTTTCACACATCACCACATTAGCTTCAGGGACTCCCAATGTAGAAGAAACAGATTTCCCTGATGATGTATTGCTCATTGCCTGGCCTTCCTCGGGAACTTAGGCATGGTTGATTGGTTTGTCTTTAGCAAGTCTGCCAAATTCACATCTGGAACTGATGAATTCAAGCCCACAATACGGCAATCTTATTATGGGAGAATGACGATACAGCATCTCTTTTCCATATCATTCCAGCATGCCTTCAGCTTTTCTTGCCTGAGACAACTGGAGAAAACTTCATTGCATTTGAAATAGAGATTAGATTAGCTATTAAAATGCTGAAGCTGTTAAAATGAAGAAGTCCCTTCTTCAGAGGAGACCTGGGAATTATAGGTATTTTAGGTACAGGTGGGATGGGCATTAGAGATCTCAAAGAAGGTACTCAGGATAATCATTGAACTACAAAATGGGGACTCAATTATGAAAATCTATGCTACATTTGATAGCTTTTAAGTACCACAAGATTATTCGCTGGCTTTTCTGCAACAGATCCGACATTGTCAGA